CCAGTAGGTATCGTGATCTCAAGCTAGAGATGTACACACTTGAAGAAAAAAAAGATATCAGTTCTATCATGACATGTTTTCGGATCAAAATCCCATATGGTTTTCAATCATGGAATTGTTTTTTTGTAATCCTTGTATTAGGGTTAAATTTATTTTTATTATGTTAAAAGCTTTGTTTTTGTTGATACAAAATCTGGAAGTAGAATGTCTAGACTATGAATTATATTAAATCCACTGCAGTTTATCCAAGGATTATTTATTTGGGGTTATTTGTACAGAAGTGCCATTAATGTGTTGACCAGTTTGTTCTTGGACAGCAGGGACTTGACAGTCAGCTGTAACTTGAGGATAAACATAGCATTTATTAAGTCTGTTTTACTTGAGTGTTTTGCTGTTTTAATGATAGCAATTGTTGTTAGTTATTGTTGCATTCACAACATTACTTCTGGGCATGTTGATCGGACAAGCTGTGAGATTAAGATGTATTTAATATGCCTACTGCATTTTGATACTGTACTAAAGTAGAAAGCCTGGTGAAGTGTTTTAGTGAAAAGTGCAGATCATAGTCTCAGTTGTGTTTTAATGGCAGAGTTGCAAACAATAACAGAGGTCAGGCCTTTTTTCAGATATTTTCCAAATGTGAAGTTGTTAGGATTAAGGCTTGGTAGTGTATTTGGAAGTTAAAAGAATTCCTCCACCCCCCCTCCCCTTATCTATATCTTTTTTTTTATGAATCAAATTTAAAAAAGAACAACCAACCACTCACTTTGTGGAAATAATACCTTTGAAAACTTACTCTACTGTTGACTGCAATGAAAAGGCATTCTAGAAAAAAAAAGAGTGCACTGATTTACTTCAGTATGATACCCCTGATAATAATTTATCATTGCTTCCAATCACAAAGATATCTCTGTATTTTATATATATTTATATATAAAAATATATTTATATAAAAATGCAGAGTGCAAATGGTATAATTGTTAATCGGCATCAACAACTTTATCTAAGGTGCACCCCCTCTTATTATGATGTTATCATGCATTGACACCATATCTCATAAGCGTGCTTTTAGCAGTAAATCCAAGAAGAAATTGTAGTTTGTTATCGGGGAAATAGGTTTCTTTCATTTTGATGCTTAGTAACTCCTTTCTGTGAGGACAAGAGAAATAGAGGTACATGACTTGCAGCACCATGTCATTTGCTTATCTTAGTCATTCTTACTTTTAATCTCATCATAACAGATCCATTCCTTTTCTGATCAGAGGAGTTTTACATCTGGAAATCTCCAAGTATTTAGTGTGCATGCTCTGATCTTAAGTTTAATATTCCAGTGCTTGTAATTGATTTTTGGTGATCTTTGCATGATTGCAGATGAATGTGAAAGCACTGATGGATAATGTCACCTTCCTAGGAGCTTTTACCACATTGCGCTTGCTTTCCAGTTTTTCTTAGTGACAATTCTAAACTTTGTCAAGGCAAAAAACCCTCTCATTTATGGACACTTGCAATAGTTCTGTATGAAACATTGCACTTCTGCAAACCTTCATGTGCGGGAGGAATATTTTTTGCATTCATTATTTAAAATATTTTTTTTCTCTGTTGTGATCTTATGCCATTTGCATCTCACAGGATTAAAGAAAGGATCCACTGCTGCTGTTTTTATCTTACAGAACCTAAAATGGGATAGACTTCTCTTGGGGAAGACCTCCTTCCCCAGTATTCTTATTGATGAATCTGTTATTGGGGTCATTCTTGCGAGAAACTGACTGGTAGCATGAATAATGTTTGCCTAGTCTAGTTCTGAAGCAAGGAGGGAAGTTAATTTTTCCAGAGATAGAGAAGTTAATAAGTAGGATTGTAATAATCTTGCCAAAATCTGTTGTCCGTATGTTCAGACATCTAATTTGAATTAGTTGCTTAGGCCCCGATACAGTAAATAGAGAAAAAGATGCATTGACTGAGGGCAGTTCATTCAGTTCTCAGACAGGCAGCAAAGTTAGGCCTTTTCCAGAGAGCAATTCATCCTAACTTTCTTTTATCCTTAATTTCACTGGGATTCAGAACAACTGGTTAAAATTGTATTTTCACATGGCTGATGTCAAATGAAGGGAATGTTACTCTTGTTCACAGATCAAATAAATTTAAAATACAAATTATTTTTTATTAAAAACAATTAGAAATATCCATATATTTCTTACACAATGGCACAACTTGTCTGTGGAGTGGTTACAGAATCACAGAACGGTTGGAGTTGGAAAGGATCTCTGGAGATTACCTAGTCCAACCCCCCTGCCAGAGCAGGTTCACCTGGGTGGCAGAGAGACTAAGAAATTTATTCTAAGAAACTTGGCTGTGTTGCAAACACATATTTGTTTTAAGTGGCCCACAATTAATTTTGTAAAATCCTAAATCTCTTTGAGGTGGAAGATAGATTACACATTTAAAAGATGTATATGCATACGGGAAACAGTTGCTTCTGTAAGCTCAAGGGCACTTGTGTTTGGGTATACAGGCTACAAAGATTAGGCGAAAGAAAATAACGTAAAAAATGACAGCAACAGTAGAAGTACTCGGGGTCACCTTTTAAGTTGTTTTACTGGGAATTATTAATGACACAAGTGCATGAGAAATTGTTTATATAATTTGGAAAAATAGGATGTCATCAAGCATCAATGTCAAGTCAGAGCTCACAGCCTATGTTACATAGTAAACTTGATTTTTTTGGAACAGTGGAGATTTTTGAAAATTAACAGTACATAGCAGCTGCTGGAAGCCAGGCTTTTTCAGGTATAGCGTGTTGATATGAAGTCATACTGTTGCCCTCTACTGGCATCTACTGAAAGCTCTGAAGCCCTTACTCATCGAGTACCATGATCTCCATGGTTAATTTCTGAAGGACACTGTTAATCCATTTCAGACAAACTCAAAACCATCCTTTGAAAGCAAAAGTCTTTCTCATTAAAGAGACTTGGGGATGGGGGGGGGAGAGGGAGAAGAAGTACAACTCCTACCTGTCAACGCTCATCTACTTACAAACTGCTGAAAGCTTTAACTTCTACATTCAAAAGCCCTAAAACATAAAAATGTCAGCTGAATTAATTAAATATTTGAGTACTGACAACTGTTGGAGTGTTTGAATTTTGGAGGCATGGATTAAAGACATCGAGAGTCATGAGAGAGAGGATCATATTTCAAACTGCTCAATGAAAACATAGCTGTAACACAGTGATTGTTGTCATTGTCCTAAAAAAAAAAAAAAAAGCAGCCAAGTTCACACAATTGTGCTTTCTGAGAGATGGCAGAATACAAGAGAGAAAAATATTTGGATTTCAGAAGTACTTTGCCACACAGTGTTACAGTGTTTTGCTGCTGTCATTAACAGAGTTATCTAAACAGTAATAAAAGACAGAAAATAACAGAATAGTTTATCTACAAAATAGTTTGGAGTTTTTTATCCCCTTAAATAATCATGTAGTCTCAGCTGCCCTCAAATCTCTATACAACTTGTGACTATATGAAGATTTTATGTGCAACAGTGACTATCGGTTGATCAGCTGTACTGTATTCACAATTGGTCCTTCTGAAGAGCTGCTTCTGTAAGCTGTCCCCATTACATACTTTTTGTGATCCTTTGACATCTTGTTCGCAAGAAAGAAAACATCCAGTATCTTCCCTCTGAGCAATCATGGAAGAACACCTCATGTGGAGAAAAGATGAGAAGAGGGGTGAGGCTTCCTTTCTCCAAACCAAGATGACTATCCCTGTTACTAGGGACTGTGAAGCTTTAAATGCTGTTTAAAATCTCTGTTACTGCTACTCTCTTCCACTCTGATCTTTGGCATATTAGTGAAATATGTCTGTTGGGTTTTTTTAGCTGTAAAAATGTAGTTAATCTTACTTACCTGTTTTCCAGGGTTGTGTATGAGTGTTAATAAGTGTTTGACATTTGGACTATGTTAAATCTCTCTATACGTGCAAAGAATCCCCCATGAGCGGAAAGCTGTGCATTGACTTAGTAGAATAGGCTTTGCTTAACTTGTATTTTCAAATAAAAGTTTGTTACACCTTCAGCGTTATGATTGTGTAGAACAAATTCTGTTTTGTCAATAGAGAAATAGTTATTGTGTCTTAATTTGTTATATTGTGTTTTTGTACTAGAAACAACCTTTTAAAGCATTATGTGCAGGAAGAGGAAGCAATAGACTCAGATTCTAGTGCATTGCCTAAAGAGTTAAAAATTAAGATGGCCTTAGGGAATTATAAAGCTTTATCACTTCTTGCAAATTATAGAGCTAGCTTAGAAACTCTTCACTCTTTGATTCTGAATAGCTCAGTATCCACATTACACTAATGCGAGTTTGGGAAAATCGATGTTAAATGACACCAGTTTAATGGAGCATTAAACTAAATACCTTTAAGATATGGGATGCTGCAAGGGAGATAAGATCGTTCTGCTTCCATTTCAGTCACAAATTACAACACAAGAATTGCAGAAACTTTTGATTAACTAGCTTCTAACACAGTTCAAATACAGCATTAAAAAAGAGCAGATTTTGTGTTTCATTGGGATTCTGACATCCAGAGGGCTCTAATAATGACCGGATGTGAAATAGAAGAAATATTTGGGAGCAGTTAATGTCTAACCATAAAAGTGACCATGTGTAAGTCACTGTAGAATGTGGTTTGAGCAAGGGCAGTAGGTGTTTTCTTTTCTTTTGTTTTTCTTTCTCTTTTTTTTTTTCTCCCCCAAGGCTCTCTGTGTGTATTCATATATTGCTAGAACAAAAACAAGCAGAAAAGAGGAATATTTTGATCCAGCCCTGTATCCTGCTCAGGTGGATCTTTATTTGTAATTTTCCTAATGCTTAAATCTCTTCTTGTTTGAACTGAGTGTGAAGACAAGGCCAGAAAAAGTACCTCAGTTTGACAAATAACTGTGCTGCAAGGCCTTCATATACTGAAGCCATGTTTACGGATTCTAATGCTTTTCTTGTTTTCAGGTGAGCGTCCTTACCAGTGTCCTTACTGTGACAAAGCTTTCAGCAAGAATGATGGATTGAAGATGCATATTCGCACCCACACAAGGGTAAGTGTAGCTTAGTTTTTATGGTAAGTTGAGGATTGTCTGTGAATCGTGTGTGGCGAAAAGTAAACAATTACTGTTTGTGTAGAGATTAGGCTATACCAACCAAGATATTTTATACTTGTCAAAATAAGAGACAAAGATTTAAGTAATTAACTGTTAAATTCTGACTCCCTTACTGACCTTCTATTTTTTGTATATTTGGTTTCTTAAATGTTGAAATAATAGTAGTACTAATTTCTTCCTTTAACCTGTGGCTATTTATAGATATAAATTAATGTTTGTGACTGTTTACTGAGTAAACAATTCTGTAAAGACTTCACTGTTCTTGAGACATTAATATCCAGTGCTTTGATTCTTACTGCCTCCTTAAAATCCAGTCACTGTGAGCTTTTGTAGAGGCTGTACTTTACTAACTGATGGCAAATCTTAAGCTGCAAAATTACTTTATTTAACTTTTATTTAACTGAAGGCAAAGTAAAAGGCAAGTTAAAGATATCTCCAAGATTATTTTTGAACCTTGAGTCTCAGCACGAACGTTACCTGTTTTAGGGAAAAGCTTTGTCACGTTATGTGTATTTACTAGAGGACAAAGGCGAGGTCTTGGCCCCACTCAACCAGTGAAGAGATGGAGACCTGTCTTCAAACAGCCAGATGTGAATTCCCTTAGTAAAGGGAGATCTCCAGGTGATGTTGAGCTGGTCTAGCATTCCATATACTAACTGCCTCTGGCCTCCTTATCCACCATAAGAAAACAAACAAAAAGTTAGAAGTAAACTGTAGCTTTTACTAGTAATCCCTTGGGAACTGTTACTGCTTACAGAAGTCAAGGCAGCCTTGAGGCCAAACCAAGAAAGTGCTTTATCTATTAGGAAATAGGGAGGATGATAAGTTAGTAGTCTCCATATGCAAATCTGCACACAGAACAACTTTCTAAATAGTTAAAGATAAGATCAAACTGTTTGTTTCATTTTCTACCATTCTACCTAGGTCTTGAGGGTATTAGCTGGAGGTCCTAGATAAAGTTTTAGCTCATGTACCCCAAACTTTAGTTCAGAAGTAATCAGTAGTTTGTGCAGCACTTCCTGATGGTTCACTGAGAGCAGGCTAGTCCCATGTTGTTAGTTGTTTCTCCTTCTTTCCAGCTGTTAAATCACTTTAAGGAGTGCTATAAAATCTTTTCTGTTGTTACTGTCCCATATTACTGTTTTTACACTAGGAGAAATTTTATTACCATATATGTTCTACATGGCTGTGAGTGGGAGGAGTGGTAAACAAGGCCAGCTCTGAAATAGTGCCAAGTTTAATTTTTTCCTGATTTGTCATACAGTCTAAGTAAAGACAACAAACCCCCCAGTCTCTGTAGGTGTTCAAAAAACAAGGGAAGAGCCCCTCGGAAAAAAAAAAAAAAAGAAAAAAAAAAGATAAGGGAAGGATAAGAATAGGCCTTTAGAGCCTATAATGATGTATTGCCATTGACTGTAGTGATTTACACCAAGTGATGATTTCTTCCAAAATCCATGAGGTTAGAGAACTTTACAAACAGTATCTTCATTGCTTAAAAGCTGTAAATTAACTAATAGCAGTTATTTACAGTAGGATTGCATATCCTACAGTCTTAGAAAATGCAGTACTTCAGTGGAGGAAAGCTGTGCATTTCACAATTCTCCAATAATCTTGCTCATTTAGTCAGATTCTCTCTTTACTCTGTTTCGTAGAGGTAATTAAGAGTTATAGATCTTAAGACGGTTTACTTTACAAGATTGATAGCCTAACATATTTGTGTACAGTACTGATAGTTGAATTTCCAGCTTTGAGCATTTCAGATCTTTAACCAAGAGCAATATAAGCTGAACTGTAAATTCTGAGCTATTCGTATGTGTCTTTTTTGAAGTGAATGCACGCAGTCATGTTGTAGCACTTCTCTGGTGCTCGGGGTAGTTGTGGTCTAATTCCTCATTCTGGAAATCAGAGACCATGTATGTTAACAAGTGGTATGGTGCAGTAGTAGGTCTGTAGAGTGAAACAGTTGGTGCTGAGGACCTGATGTTTATCTTGTGTGTGTTTCAAGGATTTTACTGCAGATTATGGGTAGCCTAGTCCTATGGACTGAATACACAATAGCGCTCCCTGGAATGCATTAAAGCTTCTAGGTGGTGTTTTTGTTTGTTTTTTTTTTTTCCCCAAAAGGAATCCAGGTCATGGAGTCCAAACCATTTTGGAGGTGTGCACCAAAGCACAGTAACAGGGAACATTTGGGAACTGTGATTCAAAAACACGCACCAGATCTGAATATAAACAGTAAAGGAGATGTATTCTAACTGTGCTGTGTAAGAACTTTTCCAGTGAAGAAGGATTATACCAGTGCAGGAATAGCTTGAAACTCCTCAGCATGATACTAATGCACTATAACTTGTTCTGTGATCCTAGGCCATTTAAACAAAGACAAAACTAAATATTAAGAAATAAAAAAATGTCGTGTGTTTGCCAATGCTTATTTTTGTGAGTTCTAAGAACAAGAAAAGCCAGGAAGTCACTTGAAATTTCTCTCCTGAGGCATCCGATGTGTTGACTTTTCAATTGTAG